CCGCGGCAAAACTACTAATGGCTTCCTCTTCCTTAGGTTACTTAGATGCAGACTCATGGCGTTTGCACCGCCTTGGTATGAAGCAGTACCAATTTATCATCAAAACGAAACACAGAGTCATAGAAACTGGTTTCCCCTGTCCACGTAAGCCTGAATGTAGAAGTATTTGCCACCACAATAATCCCGATACTTTCTGTGGCTATACTGCGTAAAATAATAAATGTTATGTAATTTGCCAGACGTGTTCCCGTCAGATTTACGTAACTCGTGTGAACAGTGAGAGAAACCATTTTAGGAACACATCGCCACCGATGTTAGAAATACATTTTCTACCTAGAACGCAAGATTTCGTCTTCTCCCCTTAATGCTTTCAGTTCCGGGTCTTCTTATCCTTCTCCAGGGCTACAAAACAAAAAGTCAGGGAAAGTCTGCAAAACCGCTTTTTTGCATACGGCACCTGTCTCCTGCACGATAAGCACGCACACTGCGAACCAAGCCCCGCTCTTGCACATTCCGCTCTCGAAATCCCCTGCCTCCACCCGCACTTCCAGCTCCCGCGTCACAATTTCCTCATAAATGCAGCAGCGCACAGCAGCACTTCACCATCCTCCACTTCGTGTCAGGGCAAGATTGCCCCACTTTCCTGGCACGTTGCCAAGCGCTTTCTCCTGGCTATAAGAAATAGTGTTGTCAGAGATGGCAGATGCCTCATTGGGGCGCAAAACGCACCGGCCGAACTGAGCCGAGTTGTAGTTTTTGCCGTTTTTTGCACCTATGCAATGCAGAAAACGCATATTGGCGAGGGGTTGTCTGTGTTTGTACCTCTGTATGTGTGTCTGTGTGTATGTATGTTCGTCTGTACCGATTTTTCATCTCGAGACCCAGAAAAGCTACAGGGCTGAAACTTGAGGAGCTTAATCTACATGCGTGTACAGGCCGCAATTCTCAGAATGGGCGCTCTTACCGGCGTGGTACTCACGTACGGGCCCGCCAAAGTTTTTTACGGGCAAGCTGCTAACTCGGAAACCAGAGAAGCTGAAAAGTTGAAATTTTGAGAGGATGTTCCCCATCCAAGTATGTGTTAGTGAGCTCAAAACCATCCCCCCGGCTAAGCGTAGTACCCATGTACGGGCCCGTGAAATTTTTTTCTAGTAAGTTGTTAACTCGGGAGCCTGAGGAGCTAGAAGATTGCAATTTTGAAGGGATATTTCCTGACAGTCCAGGCGGCCAGTCTGAAATTCTTTTAGTTAGAAGCATCTGCCGGAAGAACCAGTGCCGTTAGCGACAAAAATCTGCGGGGAGTTCTGCAAAAAACGCATCCTCGCACGGGTAGCCCATGCATTGGCCAATTATCTTTGCTTCTAATGTAACCCGTGAAGAAATACTAATTCAGTTGAAATGATGTATCTGGAACTTCCAAACAGGAAGTTCCAGATACATCATTTCAACTGAATTACGCGCACGGAATTCTGTACAGAATTCGTCAAGAGTATATTCGGACTGAAAGTGTGAAGGAAAAATATGGCAGAATTGCGCCAAATAGCTATGCAAACATACCGATGATGCAGTGACATTAGATGAAATGTGAATTTATGGAATCAGTGGAGCTGAAAAATGCCATACCTGCTGTATGGCGCCTTGTAGCGTGCAGATCTGTAGCATGGGTAATTGCGTCGCTGATGCTATTGTTGATGGTTGTGTTGCACCTGCAGATGCCAAAAGCGGACTTGCTCCGGGAGGCGTCACACCGCTGGTGCTTTCGGATGAAGGACACAGGATCGGAGTGGCACTGCTGAATAGGTGCGCGGGAAACACTGCCGGTAGCCTATACGGTGGTCCAACAACATTCGGTGCAAGAGTGGTTACAGACGAAGCTGGTAACGATGGTACTGTTGCCATCGACCCAACAATGCAAGTCTCCTGCGCGCTTGAAACAGTGGCGGTTTCAAGCACAGCAGTTGACGTGAGCTGCGTCTGCTGACGCTCCTGCTGCTCCTTCAATTGACTTCGAAGCATATTGTTTTCCTTGGTGAGTTGCAATAATTTCTGCTCCAGTATCTGTGAATACTGTGTGATAACAAAGTGTTTTTATCCGGAGAAGCAGTGAGCTGGCAATCCTTTCAGGAAGCAAAGTGAACGTCAGGATTGCCAGCAGGCTGATCACCAGCACTGGTCAGGGCAGCTGGAAGGTTGAAAAACCAGACTATGAATTACAATCGGTAGAAGTATATTCAAAGCAAATATTTGCGAAGAATTAAAACAGGTGATAAAAAATGTTTTCAAGACATCTGATTTTATTTTGCTTCTTATGCAAAACCCTCCTCTGACCATTCATTATCCTTCCTTTCTCTTTTGTTACTTCTTGCTTTTTTAAGTATGAAACTTATAAATTTCTAACAATAAATTAGCAGTTCTAAGTTTAGTTCTTTGCTATGGAAGCAGTTTAGTACTTTCTAGATAATTTCAGTATTCTGTAAAGGGACATGTGGCGTTTTTCAGCGAATGCCTTATTCGAATTGGTACCGGAACAACTGCAAAATGGTACCACTACACCGATTCCGCAATACAGCAGCACATCGATGCTTTAAGCCATGATGACCGATAAATACTATCAAGGGAACTTTTGCAAAAACTGTAATTGGGATTTTAATTGCGTTATTTTTTCTGAACAGCCTTTTACATACTTCAACAGCTCATTTCTAGGGAGTGAAGGTACAGTTATTAGCATGACCATATTATTAGACAACAGTAACTTTCGGAAACCTTCCTCTCAACACAAGTACTGCATGCCTATTCGAATGTCAAAATCGCATCGAAAACGCAAGGATTTCTTCTAGCATATCCACTTTATATCTATTGGTATTCTATGAATTCCACATCTTTATTGGAAGGCAATGAGATTCATAAATGAAAAAAATTTCATTAAATTGTTTGGTATTGGTGTGTTGAATGTAATGAAATTATGAATTGGATTGAAACGTGTATTGTAATAATTGAGTCAAAGTAAAAACAACAAATCTATATACATTGATATCTTGAAACACTGAATTGTACCGTATTAAAATATGTATTCAAATAATTGAAATTGATGTAGTGAAATCAAAATACGGCAAACCTACATATACTTGTAAGAGCAGGCTGGTCTCCCAGGAATGTTACAGCGTAAAGTCTTTTGTTTCGGACAATCACCTTCATACAAAATCCGTGCTCAAATCTATACGTTTTAGCTTCTCACAAACGAGGAAAATTAAAACCCACAACAATGTCTAAGAAGTGAATCCTGCAAACGGTTCGAAAAGCGATAGAAATTACAAATAAAAATACTTCATCGTATTTCCTTGTATTGATGTATTGATTGTATTGGAATTTTGAATCCAGTCAAAATGGAATATGCATTGAAATGATTGGTTTAAATGTTTCTGAATTAAATATGAAAGGCTTATTGATATATTGAGTCGAACTGAATTTTAAAAAAAAAATTGAAATATACTGATGTAAAATACGGCAAACGTACACGTCCTGCAATACACTCCTGATTAACTTGCCACAGAATTGTTAGAGTCAACAATTAGTCTGTCATAAAATTACCATTACCTTGGTTATGACATCCGTCAGAAATAGGCTATTCCTTTCCCGCGCGTCCCACAATCCAACCTCACAGCAGCCCCAATTTTTTTT